ATGGTGTCCCATCACTTATGCGAGCCATTTTTTGCTCCGTTCTAAAAAATTGTATTTTTATTAAATTAATATTTTAATATTTTGAGAAAATGTATGTTATGTAATAATTGTTACTAAATTTAAGTATGAAACACACCCACAAAAAATTTTTACATGTTCTTTTAATTTATCTTATTACAGTTTCCTTTTGTAAAGCACAAGTTTCCCATCACTTTTGTGAGACACTGTATATGAATTAATGCTCAAAAAATAAAAAAGAATAACAATGAGTGTGTGTGTGTGATTATGGCAAAGCCTCGAGGGCTATCTGCCTAAGAGGAGGGATGCCTTCGTGGAGGACTTTCTAAGGGAAACTGGCTCGTATACACGTTTCACATGGGGAAAACCACGAAAACGCCCATGCAGCCAGCCCGTTCGCGGAATTCGAACCTCGGACCGAACTACCAGTGTTCAGCGACTTTACCGCTCGGCCGCTGGTGGGCCCCGAATAACAATGAGAGAGAAGCTCATTTTACGCACAAAATTAATTTCATCCGCTTTTAAAAATCGTAACTGGAAACTAAATCCTTCTTATGTAGCTTAATTGTTTGGATAACGGCAAAAGCACACGAGTCCTAAGTGGTTAAGTTTAGAAGTGCCTTTTGTAAAGATTTCCAAGGGAAAATTGCCTTGTTTTCATTTTCCAGATGGGAAAAGCGACGAAGACTCTCATGCAGTTAATCCATTTAAGCCTGGGTCGAACTGCCAATATTCAGCATTCTTACCATTCGGCAGCTGATGACCACATGTTATGAGTTAGTATATAAGCTACAACCTCTAAATAAAAAAATTATTTTAAATTATAAATGTTGAACTACTTTATTTAGCAATTTTTATGAACTTACAGAGTGCTCCTTCCTCAAATTATCAGAAACAGCACATTTACTTTTGTGTTACACACTGCGTTACATCCTTTCATCTTCGAATTATTTTTATATGCAAAAATATTTTCTCCAAGGCAGAATAAAAACATCAAAGACATTTATTCATTATATGTGCTCTTAAATGGGGATGCTCCCAATACTAGCCGCTTGCATGGCCCTCTAAACATAGTCCCTAAAATAACTACCATAAAAAAGAAAAAAAAATATATGCAGTACGACTCCAATTATCCAACTAGCCGAATCGCTGATTATCCGAATCGCTTTCAGAATTTAAGAAACAATTAAGAAGGAAACTTAATGTTGGACAATCAACGATTTCAGAGATTCAAAGGAGAAAAACCTACACTTTTAATCTTCGTAATACTGCTTGAAAACGAAGATGGAAAGTTCTTCAAGAAATTCAATGCAGCAACAAGGAAAATTTTAAAAGTTGCTGAATTTAAAAGATGCTGAATGCAGCAACAAGGAAAATTTTAAAAGATGCTGAATGAAAGATGCTAGTTTTTGCAGCAACGTTCTATGGGAAGCCCAGTTTCGGGTCCGATTCTTTGTGAAAAAGCCAAGGTCTTAGCTCAGAATTCATACTGTAAAGTGTAAAGCAAGTAACGGAACGTTTAAGTGCAAGCACGGTGTCCGTCAAACAGCTTTCTTGGACCGAGATGTTCAGCACTTGTAAGTACTGTACAGTACGCTATATAACATGTACCCAAAAGAGTACTTACGGAAAATCCCGTCGACCACAAAAGAAGGCGCCAATCACGCCAAACACAAAAAACGCATTTACTAAATACAAGAAAAAACGTTCTATTCTTATTTTTTTTTTCAAATTTATTATATTATCATTTATTTATATTTAATTTTTTATTAAAAATTTCCATTATTTTTTGTTAAGGAGATATATCGTAAAAGCAATTATTTTCGCTTGGTTTTGATTTCGCGAGAAATGTCTCCTGAAATACTTTTTTTTCGCCTCAAATAATAATAAAAAATCAGACATTTTGGTACTTTTCCGTTTTGCCGGCGCAAGCGATAAAGTCGGCAATAATGGTACAACTGATGCCAAACGGAATATTCTCGCTGGTAACCTTTTACGCATCATTTTCAAAACAAGTCGCAGCTTTTTCTTATCAGACTGGTTGTTTCTTACAATACTGGCATATAGAATACATAGAATTTTTATCAGATAGTTCAGTTTATGTCTAAGGCCATTTTCGGTAATTAAGTCAATTGGGATGCAATCACAGCGTTTATCCGAAGCCGAAAATATAGAAAAGGTAAAGTCAAGGGTTAAATTCATCCATTCTAATGAGAATGCATTAGCGAAGTAAAGCACTGCAGTTTTACATAATTTCTGAGTAAGCTATTCGTACGAATTGAAATATTTCTTGCATTTAAACTTGTGTTCCAAATTAAGATTTACCTTGAAATGGATGTAGATAATTACTGAGAGCATTAGATTTTTGTAGAGTAGTTGGTACTTACGTATTATCGCAATCAGGTTGGCGCGATTTGTAAGTTTGAGTAAAAAAGTATGAATAGAAAGAAAATGTACATTTATTAATTACAGATAATTTTTAATACTGTTTTTTATATTATTTTGTTTTAAAATATAAAATAGCAATTAAACCCTTCCGGTTTCGAATTTTGAATAAGTTGCAGAATTATTTTTTCGGCGGAAATCTTTTGGCTATTGCTTTTAGAACTGATTGAAAACCGTATCGCCATAACCATGTACACGTCGACTTATTTTTACTTAAAAAAAACATCCCAGAATTGCACAAAAATGGCATTGCGCACACTCTTGACTTTATCCATGTACACTGCTATTTTCTCATAAATTACAAAAATTTGCACGAAAATGCAGGAAAATTTTGTGAATCTCCACATGCTCTTTTTACAAAACTTCGTATAACACGTAGGGTTGCCGTAAGTAGGGTCGCCAAATTTCGCAATTTATGCGAATTTTGGCCTGATTGCGCTAATACGTAAGTACCGAAATGGTAAATAATGAAGAATCTGCATGAACGTATATATGTTTCTCCCATTGTGAAAAAACAACGGTATCTAAAGCCATCCATCCAATTTTGAATAACGTAGTACTCCACTCAAACATGGGCACCTAGAAGCACGAATTTTGAGTTTCGAATTTGTTTTATGATCTATTTCATGTTTTGTAAAACTTGATAAATTTTTGATTAATAAACTCAACGATTTCAAAGCGAGCAATAGCAACACTTACGGAATAAAATATCTTTATGTCCAGAGCGCGAGACTGTGTTTCGGAAATTCTAAAGATATGCTCTTTCTAAATATTTTCTGATTTTGCTGTTGCAGGCGCCAAGAACTTTTAAGGCACAAGAAAGTAAACACACAAAACATCAATAATATAAAGACAAAAAACAAAACAAAACAAAAAAAAGTTTTGTAAAGCCATCTTTAGTAAGAAAACTGAAGATTGATATGATAAACCAAGAAAAGACTGAAAAAACACAAAAATGTGTGGCAATATTTAGCGCTGCAATTGAGAATTCTAAACGTATACTGCTATACTGGTTTTAAAATTTTCGTAATTTTGCTGTTGAACTCTATATGGCGTAAGTGCGAAGAAAACGATGCTTAACAATAAAGCTTAAAAGCCACCCCCCCCCCCAAAATAGTGACCAAATGGGTTTGGAGTGAGTGTAAAAGCAGATTGTTAAATGAGATTTCAGCGAGCTCGTAAAATACCTTAACGAATCTTTTTGGGCAATCGTTAAAATTTAAAAATCTTTGCGAGTAATTGCAACAAAATTTAGCGAATTTTAACGAAAAAAACCGCGTGTGGGGATGGGGGGAAATTAAGAAAGAAGCTTAAAGCGATATTATCATAAGATATAGGGCAGACTGAGTGGAGCATGAATACAAAAGAATTTCCATATGAATTATTATCACGGATGTAGCTACAAAAGACAAGTGCATGTAAAGTCTTCATATTACACTTAGAATTTACCTTTTAAAGATACGTATTATATGGCTTTGGAAAAAAAAATCTTTCATAAATGATATAAAAAAAATCTATGAAAATTAGTAATTGTATTAGAAGAATTTTAGAATTATAACATGAATTACATATTTTTATTTAAATCAATCAGATTAAAAAAATTTTTTTAAATATTATTTTGAGTTGCGTTTATTGCCTTTCAAACGCTTAGTTTTGTTAAACAGTAGCAGACAGATTAAATTTTAAAGTTAAATATTTTACGTTCTTTACTGAATGGCAACACACTAGCGCATGGAAGATAAAAGTATTTTATTTCATGCGGTGGCAGCACATTGCTTTAAATAGCCGAGTTTTATTAGATTTGAAATAATTATGTGGTAATAATAATGTCTTACACTTCACAGAATATCAACATATTGGTGCGCGGAAGTAAAAAGCGACTTATTTCAACAATTAGCAACACAGTTCTTTTAAAATCACTAAGTTTATTGGCCAAATTTGAAAGAAAAATATTTTACTCTTTGCTAAGTAGCAACACATGTCTTTCAAATCGCAATGTTTTCTAATTTAATCTGAAATAAAAATATCTTAAGCTTTCCCGAATGCAACACGACTTTTAAAAATCGTTAAATTTGTTAATCAAAATTTTATTAAATTCGCACAAATAAGAAATCAATAAAAAATCCTAAATTCTAAAAATGAACATTACTCGGATAAAAGATAATATATATGAATAATTTGGTGGCTCTTTCTATCACCGTTTTCTTTTTTTTTTCCTAAATGCTAGGAACAAACATAATTACAAACAGATTTATCTATAGAGAATGTAACTGAAAGAGATTTCCCATCCACAGAATTAATCGAAATTATTAAAATAAATAAGTTTACAATTGCTTCTTTGAAATGAAGCTTGAGCTTTACATGTTCTTGATTCTGTACTAATAAAAAGATTTGTTGTGCACAGCATTAATCCAAAATATTAAAATAATGATTACTATGGCTTTTTTCAAATAAAGACAATTATCTTTACAGACTCTCAATTCTATATTTATCTAGGTCAGTATTTCATAAAGAATGCAAGGAAACAAGAGCATTACCTGTATTTTCGGTTATGGAACTTCCGAACTGCATTAAATTCATGAACTGAGCTCCGTAATTTTACAATCGAGCTTTCGAATTGCCTTAAATTCCAATACGTTAATGATGCCAAATACGTTTAAAGTGAAGAAATGAGTTTTCAAAGAAATATCGTTACATGTATGCAAATTAAAATTACTAATGATAACTACATTATAGGATACACAGCATTCTTATCACATTAAGTTTCAGAGTTCCCGCGAGCTACTAAGCCTAATCTTTCACCTTCTGATTTCGTTCATTAACTTCGTCACTTGTTTTTCAGTGCGTTGCCAGATTCTCTCGCGATTCTTCGTGTTGCCAGGTTCTTCCCAGTCTGTCGTAAGACAGGAAAAAGATAAATTCCTGATTAAAAATAGAACCAATGTTAGTGCTTTGCCATGGAAATTAATCTCGGATTTTTTTTTAAATCATAAATAGAATGTCTTAAATGCTTTTAAGATTTAATAAATTTTGCCCAGTTTATTGTATCAAAATGCATCTTATATAAGTTTCCTTCCTTTTTATTCTATATTGATACATTTTTCTCTCGTTTTCTCTTAGTATACATTTTCTGTTATTTCTGTACACATGTTTCTGAATTTCATTTTAAACTGCATTTAAATTCCATTATTTTACTTCCTTGTACGAAACAAAGGAAGTATTGTAATCGCAAAAAATTAGAGTATCATATTTCAACGAAATATCCATTTTGAGAGCTCTCGAATTTATTTAAACGATGTTTTTGCGAGACATCTCTTCCTACGAACAGAATGAAGAATTTGTTTTTTCCAAAGCAGATTATAAAATGTGTTTAAGATGGATTCAGAAAAGATTTTTTTTTCATTACATCTGCAAGTATGTACATATGTATCTCGCATAACTCAAAAACAAGCAACCGTAGAACGTTGAAATTTTGTATATGGGACTGCCATAACATGCAGCTTTGCACTGCCCTTTTCCGTTGCAACAGCACCAAACGAGTATGTATATATATATAAAACTAATCTTTACTAATTTATTTTATTTATGAAGATTCTTTTTTGCTTAAATAGACTAATGTAGTTATTTTGATTGTATTTATTTTGATTCGTGACTTGTGATTTGGATCTATCAGAAATACAATTTGATGCTTACTTGGAAGAAAGATGAAACACTGTTACTTAATTTAATTGTTGTTAATTGATGATTAATTAGACTGGTTTATTCCCCAAGACGGTAGTGTTTTAAAAGGCAAAGAAACGTTAAATAGCCGGCCAAAACGCTAGAAATTCTACCGCTGAAAAAGGAGAATATCTGGAAAATATGAAGGAAGAATTTTGGAGCCAAAGCAAGCTAGCTGATTATTAATACTCGTGAAAATGCAGAATCAATGAAAGATTTATCATCCGTGAAAGCAATATTATAATAAATCATCCTCAACAATAATCGTATTGAATAACTCTTCGTCTTCCGCAAATAACAAGATTCCTTCGAACGATTTCAGATCATTTGCAAAGACCAGCTCTAAAATATCCTTCTCTTCACTTTACACCTTCCAGTGTATTACCGCATTTAACAAACATACTACAATTGATTTTTCCAATAAAAATGGCACTTCAGCCCTCAAGATTAAAAATAAATAAATAAATAAAAAATATGAAATGTTTTAGATTTTAAATTACGTCCAAAGAGGCGTTTTTTTAACATTTTGCGTGTTACATTTACTTATTAAATATCATGTTCTTCCCACTTAAGCCATGAAATTCAGTTCAACAGCAATATTGCAAAATTGTTTTAAATTGAGATATCTTTAGAATTTTCAAAACAGAGACTCACGTGCTGGAGATAAAAATGTCCCCCCCCCCGTGCAGTGTTGCCATGGCTATTAGCTTAGACATCCTTGAGTTTGTTAATAAAACATTCCTTAATGTTTCACAAAATATGAAATTGATAATAAAACAAATTCCAAATTAAAACGGGCTTTAAATGCCCATATCCGAATGGAGGACTACGTCATTAAGAATTCAGTGCAGGTGATCTCTCTAGGTACTGTTGTTTTTTCACAATGCGAGAAATATACATACATTTATGCATATTTTTCATTGTTTAATTTCTTCAAATATAATGCAGGACTCTAACATTTGGTGGCAACAGTTTGAAAAGTGATTCGCCGTTTGTTGAGAATCGATGCAAAATTGCAAACAATAGTCCTTCAGTGACAAAGCTCCTTTGGACTAAAAATAGAAGAAGGGAAAAAGATAGAAAACAATGTTTATGCTATCAGATGAAAGGTTCTGTAAGATTTATATTTATAAATGCACTAAGGTTTATCCTAAGTAGCACGTTATATTTTATGCTAAATCTTTCCTGCTCCTCTGTTTTCTTGCAATTCCACCAGAATTAAAAATTAAATGAGTTTAAATAAGAGTAAATATCGAAGTTGCTGAAGTTCTCGCTTATATTTAAACGTTTCAGAGTTAAATTGAAGAGCATTGACAATAAAGTAGACCGGCAGCTTTTAATTCTGATTTTTGCCTACTGGGGTTTCATGCAGTTTATTGGTGAATTTAGATTTATCTTGTGCCTTAATACGCGATAGTATAGAAGCCGGGTTCTGAGTTTTTTTCTTTTTTTTTTTTTAGGTTAATATTGGTTTTGTGAATAATTGGATTACTGTTGCATTATCAGTCCACAAGAAGAGAAATTTTACGTGACATCTGTACCTACGGACAGAATAAAGGACTTCTCTCTCTATATATATATATACGTATATTGGTGCCTTATATATATATATATATATAGTATATATACCCCCTCTGTTACCCGGCTCGGTGAGCTGAGATTTTTTATTCTTATATGGTGGTAAATCGTGCACTTTTTGCTTTAAAAGTGAACGGATTATTTTGTTGTTATGTTTCCGACATTTTTTTTATGCCTTCAATTAATCTGCATCCAGTGATTGTAGAACTATCAACAGTTAAATGTTTTAGTGTTGTTAACGAAGACACCATTTGCTTACATTTGAAACTCGTAGTAAAATAGTGAATTAAGTCACTTTTTGCACCAACTTCAGTATCCTTTTGCCGAGTGGGACCAAAAATAAACTTTCACTTTTGTGCACCGAAAAACCTGTCTTCCTGTCCGCTGCGCGAATTGCTTGTTTTGGGGTAGAAACTCTAATTTTCATTGTAAAAATTGCTTTTTAACTGTACAATTCATTGAATGAGGAACATATCCCTAATAAAATTCGAGGAAATAACTTTATATGAAATGCAGCAAAAAATGTGTATAATTTAATAGGCCGCGCAAGGAAGTCACGTGGTGTCCACGTCAGATATTTTTAATGTCACGTGCCAGCGTCACACGCGGATGCAACTGCAGTTTTTGTTTTATTCATCATTAAGCATTCATTATAGATATCAAGTTCATGAAGCACATTCAATTAAAAGTTGCGAAACCTTTAAGAGTTAACCTGGGAAACTCTGCAGAAACTCTAATCATTAAAGAATTCTGTAGAGCGGGGTTTCTTAAACTGCGGGTCGCGACCTGCAACAGGGAGTTCGACAAAAATTTTAGCAGTTTTGATATTTCTTTAATTTATTATAATAATTTTACAATTATCAAATATTTTTACACAATGTATCTGAAAATAGATAAAGATAAGACAATACAGCCAAAGAAAAAATCTGATGTGTACACCAGATGACTTCCTTGTACGGAATATTAAATTATACACATTTTTTCTTGCATTTTATTTAAACTTATTAGATTGAATTAAACCTACTTCGCCGACAGCGCATAAACCCCAATAGAAAAAATGCATTCTTTAAAATTCACTTTGTTTACCACTGCGACACTCTGGCACTAGGTTTACTTAACAGTATTATATTTCATTCATATTATAACTCAGAATGCACAAAATGTATATCATTTAAAGAATTATCTAATCGTTGCCACATGTTCTATTCAAATACTATAATAAAGCTAGAACTATGTATAAAAGAATTAAGCAAACAAAACAAAAAAAAACAGTTTTTCACAGACGATTGAGTATTTCTCATTCAATTAATTCAGTTCTCACTTCGCGAGAAGGCAAAAATACATAAAAACTCAAAATATCTATATTAAAAATTACGAAGTAAATCTTAAACGCTTATTTCCTCGAAAAAAATTCCAGAAAGGATTAAGCATGATTTAAATAATAAATGAAGGCGTTATCTTTGTTGTTGCGAAGCTAAGTTTCTCTAGATTGGCAACAAATCCACTCGTGCCCTGTTTCAAATGTAAAGATGAATGGCCGCCATTAAAAACAAGCTTGGCGGCACTTAAACAACTTTAAAGTTGCTGATAATTCTAAAAATATTGCACACAGATTTACTAAAGGCATAAAATCCTTAACCGGAAGATAAAAACAACATAATTCAATCATTTTTAAAGCCAAAAATGTACAATTTACAAACATATAAGAGTAAAGAAACCGAGATCACTGAGCCGGGTAACAGAGTGGATATATATATATAAATATATTATATACGTTTGGTGCGGCCGATCGCAACCAAAATACGAGGTGCACATCTACATATTATAGCAGTCCTATATACAAAATTTCAACGTTCTGAGGCTACTCGTTTTTGAGTTATGCGAGATACGTACGTACATACGTTCGTACAGACGCCACGAAAAATTCTCTTCAGAATTAATTTTAAAGCAGTTTTATAATTGTTTGAAGGAAAAGAGTATTTTATTCTGTCCTTCGTACAGATATCACGCAAAAACATTGTTAAATTGCACTTGATAGCGATCAAAATGGATATGTTCGTTGAAATATGCTGCCAGAAACTTTTCGCGATTACAATACTTCCTTTTTACTTCGTACAAGGAAGTAAAAAACGTTTCGACGCATTTTTTTTTATAATATAAACGTTCATTTTATTCGCTTTGCACGTGACGCTATCATTTTGTTTGTTACTTATTTAAAATTTTCACATTGTTCTATGCGTCAAAATAAGAAATTAAAGTAAATGACCCAAAACTGTAATATATTATTACAGTTTTAGGTCATTTACTTTAATTACTTTAAATATATTACAGTACACGTGAAAAAATTGACGGTTTCACTCCCGCGTGTGTCGGATTTGCGCAATGCTTATGCAGTCCCACAAAATTTTCTTAAATATTATAAGGTCCTGGGGTCGCGAAAAAAATCTCAGTGATAAAAAGGGGTCGTGAATGAAA